CCTAACCCCTGTGTGCCTTGCCTCCCACGACTAAAGTGTTAGAATACCCGACACAAGAAAGGTTCCTTAAAAACAATTTTTTTGAACATATATATGCTGTCATCAAGGTATTAAAAGTCTATACCTACCTTTTCAGTGCTGGTATTCAGTCTGGCCAGTAATTCTTCAATTGGGATCTTATGTTGATCCTACAGTCAAACAAATGTTAAACCACTTATATAACTATTATAAAAATAAAGTTTATTTTTATTGAAATAACCAATAATCATTACACTACCATTATACAACAAATGGTTTGTTAAATGAAGCATTCTATGAAAGATAGAAAGTACAAAAAGTTAAAGTTCAAAGGTAATTTTATCTAGGGCTTTTAGGGTGAATTACAGTTCCTTTTTTTATTCATAAAAATACAATTTTAAAGCCTTGGAATAAAACCTGAATGACTGATAATATACACTTCAGTCTTAATTTAAAAAATCTGAAATATGTGATAAAAATATATATGAACAAACCATTTGAACTTCTTGCTTGAGGTCCTCCAGATCAGGCTTTCCTTTATTTCTCTTCCTTTTTTCTGATTTTCCATCAGGTTTTCTCTCATCATTTGAAACATTGGTAGTGACAGCCACCCTGTAACTGGCTGACCTGCCATACTAAAACAAATCAAAATGTCTCAAATTAAGTGACAACATTTAAAGCTTATCAAATCTATTAGTTTTCTAACAACTAAATTTGTTTATGTATATTTATAATTATAAACAATTCAACAATACAAGAAATTATTACATTCTATACAAACTATGCATAAAGATACATCTACTCAAACACAAAGCAGACAAGTCCTAAAACCAACTGTTATTTCAAGCATGTAATAGCATATGATTTTTGACTACACTACTTTTAATTAGTGGTGCTGTTTGCATGTTAGCAATAAAAGGAATATGTCTTCAACATGAACCCATTATTTGGGAGGTTTCTAGTTTCTGAATATGTAAAATGAAAAAGTATTTAAACCATGAAGCTCCAATCCCTATCCAATGATTGTATACGCTACTCCTAGATTCTACAGCGAGCATTTATATTTCCTCACTCCTAAAAGTTTATTAGCCAATTACAAAATATTTTTGAACCACAATGTGTATAATGTGCAGTCATGAATCATTATGTTAACTAACCCAGAGGAACCAAGCCTCACAATGACAAAATTTTGAAAACTAACTTTGTGATATTAATAACATTTGCACAAAATTAACAATCCAGACCTAATTCTATATAATCCATCAACAGTTAAAGCTTTATAAATAAACAAGTATTTATTCTGCAAAGTTAGTTTCATTAAAATGTACAACTATCCATAGGCTTCAAGAAAAATTAACTTCATATAATTCTTAATGCTTAAACAAACGCAAAATCATTTCTAGAAATAAAGTCAACTTTCTCTGAATTTAATCCACCAGGATACCAAAATTTGCAAGCATGGTAATTCTTTACAAACTCTGTAGTAAAGATTTGTTTTTTGGATCCCAATGAACAGATTAACTGAGTAAATGTCTGCATTCGTGAATATAGGTTTTCCAGATTTTTATAACCATACAAGCTCTATAGTATGTTTGTGGAATTTTGATTTTTGGAAGTCATTATCCTGTAATCTGTCTGGATAACAATAATGACAAAATAAAGAAATAAACAGAAATGTAAAAATCACAAAATTACCCAATATTCAAATAGTCAGTTCCCCTGGTGGGAAAAGGTGTCACTTTCTAAAATAGTGTTACGTCTCCGTTTGTTAATTAACTTTCCGTAACTTCGTTCCGACGAAACTTTAGCGACACAAGTCCTTACTTAATAAAACTGGTTTATTCTTTCCGAAAACAATTTTACGATCCTCTTATTTTCAACAGTCGCTCTATAAAAAAAC